GGGGTAGCAGGAAATTTCAAGACACAAGGAATAAAAGTTTCGAATATTTATGTCGTATTTGAAATGATAACGTTTTTTTTCCCAGTCGGACTGACTTATATAGTACTTGAATTTAAGAATTCTAGCAAAATGAGCTTATTGTTGCACTTACAGAATAAAAAACCCCAACAACAACAAACAAGCAAACAAACAAAACCCCACGGAAAAGATGAACAGACGAGAATGTTGAGAATTATCCAGTATGGATTACTGAAAAGGATTCATGTACTCTGACAACCAGAAAGATAAGATTGTGAGAAGACAGTCTAGAAGAGGTAGACCTCTAGCAAAGCGTAAACCAGAAAACTCTAGTCTATTGTTAATGTACACGTTTATACACAGATACCTAGAGCAAAGACAGAGAAAGATAAACATAATAGATTGATAGAATGTAGACACACTTACACATACACACACACACACACACACACACACACACACACACACACACACACACACAAACACACATACGCACACACACACAAAGAAGAGAGATAGATAGATAGATAAATAGATAGATAGATAGATTGATAGATAGATAGATAGATAGATAGATAGAGAGAGAGAAAGAGAGAGAGAGAGAGAGAGAGAGAGAGAGAGAGAGTATGTGGAAAGAAATACAGGGAGAAAGATAAAGAGATCATACAGGCAAAGAGGCAGACAGACAGAAAGACAAACAGGCAACACAGACATGGACTGAACAAACAAACAATGACAACAAACAGACTCACGAAGACAAGACCTCCGACGTGAAGGCGGATCGTATCTTCTGGTAGTCGGATATCCAGCAATCGGGTGTAGGCTTTTTCTGGGTGCTTCGATTCTGGCCGTTTCTCATTCTTCACTTCCACCCTAGAGAGAGATGCAATGGTGGCATCAGAGTTTTTAAATACCATTTTAACACAGGACGTCAGTTATGTAGCGGACCTCAGAATAAACGGGAACCAGCAATAAAGGGTGAGGGGGGGATATACGCACTCACCTGAAGGCACATGGGTGGTGTGTGACTGCAGTCTCTGCCATGACGTATTTGCAGGGTGTGAACACCTCGATGTGGGCGCCGTCAAACGTTGTGTAGTGAGGGTCACCTTTGGCTTCACAGCGACATACGTCCGCATCTGCACGGGGGGACAACAACGTACACATATACACACATATGAAACTACACATTGCATTGATATGACAAAAGTGTATAAGCGTCTTATTTCTACCAATAATAATAAAAGAACAAAACCAAAACTACAGACTCATATTAATCTCTCAATTTTCTCTATGATTAGATCACCTCTCTCTCTCACAAACTACGCGTCCTTTACATTCATTATGGTCTCCCGTAGTCTTTCCCTCTCTAGATCTAGCTGTAGTCTTTCTCGCGTCCTCTCTCCTTCCCACTTAGATTTTGCTGTTGAGCGGGAATTTGTGCTATGTATGTATGTACGTATGTATGTATGTATGTATGTATGTATGTATGTATCTATCTATCTATCTACCTATCTGTGATGATGATGATGATGATGATGATGATGATGATGATGATGATGATGATGATGATGATGATGATGATGATAATTGTCTTTGTCATTATCATTATCATTATCAGCTAGGGTTTAGAGTGCCTGCAGTGACCCACCTTCAGGCGCCATTGTTGTCTCTGGCATGGCCGTGACGTCATGGGTCACAGCCTCTGGCATCTCGTCATTGAACATCTCAGCTGGGCTCTCTGTGGTAGATTCAGGGACTTCCTCTTCTTCTTCTTCCTCTTCTTCGGGCATTTCAGGAACCGGTGCCAGAGTTGGAATTTCCAGATCCGGATAATCAACTGGGATCTCTTCTGTTGCTGATGGGTCCTCATAGATCAACTCAGGGTGGATATATGGAATCGGTTCTGGTATTTCCGGTTGGTAAGGATTGGGTTCTAGATAATCTGTGAAGAGTTCTAGAGGGTCTCCGATTATCTCCTGCGTTGTGGTCAGGGGAATCGGTTCTTCGGTAGTCGGTGGGGTGGGTATTTCTGTAACCGGTGGGGGTAGGGGACCGGGTAATGTGAACGGTGGAATCATTGGAATCGGTTCTTCGGGAGTCGGTGGGGGTGGCGTGGGTGGTATGCCAGGCATTTCTGGAGTCGGGTCTGGAGGCAGTGGGCCGGGTAATGTAAACTCCATCGGTTCTTCGGGAGTAGGTGGTGGGGGTGTGGGAGGTATTCCGGGCATTTCTGGAGTCGGTTCTGGGGCCAATGGGCCGGTGAGTGTGGTGGGAGCTTGGGTGGGTTCGGGAGTCGGTTCTGGCATCGGAGGTCCTGGTGTTTCTGGAATCGGTTCCGGTTCTGGTTCTGAGGAGAGAGTAATCATACGTTTATTTATTCAAACCAAACACAGACTCTTACGAGACAGAGCATATTATTAGGTGTCACAACGTTGTGGAATCAAGAGATCGTCAGTTTTTGGGCATATGGGGTCATTGGTATCATCTTAGAGCTTGCTCATTTGCCTTCCTTTTGTGAAAAATGTCCATTTACGTTGAATAGAAATTAAAATATTTGCGGTTGAAGGATGTCTGGGTCCCTGGTTTCGGAGGTAAAATTAGTGAGAAAATGGCGGCCAAAGTCTGGTAACTTCCATAACCTGAGAGTCCTTAGAACCTAAACATTTACATCTTTTGTGCCTTTTTGGAGTGTTTTCTAAAAATAAAATCCTCACAAAAATGTAACTTTAATAAACACAAAAGGTGTTGAGCCAATAAAAGAAAATTACAAATAAATTGCCCATTGACCAAACAAATTTCGATTTCTTTGATTTCATTATTTTGACATGCGCCTGATTTCACCACGATGCCTCACATATAAGTATGACTCGACTTACGACTTACTTACCCTTTCTCTATTCCGTCAGGTACATGAGGCGGATCTAAGACTCTTACAAGACAGAAATTGTTTCTGAAAACAAGTGCTTCAAAAACTATTGAATTAGGTTTCAACAAAGTTTGAAGAAAACGGGTGGGTGGGTAAATGGGTTAGAATTGAAATCAAATGACTGCTTACAGAGAAGTTATAAATATTATATTAAAACTTTCTATGAAAACAATCTTATACTTCTACCGTCGAATAACAGCCAATATCTAGCATCTGTGTTTGTCGCAACCACCCCCCCCCCAACCAAAAAACAAAACCACTGCCGGGGAATAAAACCAAAAAAAAAAAAGAAAAGAAAAAGAAGCTGAACCTCTTTACTTTTAGAAAGAAAGTTTATTTTCACTTCAGCTTCACATTGTGATTGTCTCTTTCTTACTTGTTGACACCACGTTGATTTGTTATCTTTTACTTGAAGAATATAACTACATTACATACTATTTCTATTGCTGTTTCTCTTTTATTTTTCCTTCTTTGTTGTTTTTCTTATTGTTGGTGTGTTAATTTTTTTCTTGTTATTGTTCTAATGTGTTGTTTTACTATTTTTTTGTTTTTATTTACTGTAATGTTATTTAATTTGATGTTGTTCCTACCTTTTTTAAAAATATATGTATATAAATGTGTTATGTTAAAACGTGTCTCCACCAAAACCAAAGGTTGACACTGGCAGGCCCCTTAATTGTGTGTGAATTCAAAATTTACATGTAATATCTTGTAAGCCTACCTTTTCTTGAATTACACACGTTTAAGGTTAAAACAGCCAATCTTCGGATAGGTGGACACACGCACTTATTTGTGAAATTCTGTGGTTGTGTATGTGCTGTTCTAATTTTGATTTGATTCTGTTGTGAAACCATAAATTTTCACGTTTTTACACTCTTTTTGGCTACAAATGATCCTCTGGATTCTGCACAAGAAATTCTGGTGCTTTAGATTAAGTTACCTCTATCAACATATTGCTATATATACGTCGTCACAGAGAGTTGAAAGCTTGAAAATTAAAGGCAACTTTTATGGCAACTTTTACCATTTTTGTGGCAACTTATGGACAAAAAAATGGCAAAAAACGCAGATGCTAGCAATATGGTTCAGAGGGGCGGAAAACAAACGAGGAACTCAACGATGATTAATAAAGCTCCCAAATAAAATGTTTACGAAGAGTTTTATTAATAAAATGAAATGAAATTATTACAAATAATGAAATGCTGGAACTGAAGACATCAGCTCGACCTTAAAAAAGGAGAAGAAGGAGATAGTCGGACATGTTTTAAGAATGCCGAAGACACGTCTGCCCTATTAGAAATAGTATGGGAAACCAACTGGAAAAAAAAAAAAAGGTAGACCAGCTTGAAGTTACAGAGGCACAATTAGGGATTAAGCAGTCTCTCGGGACCTAGATGATAGAAGTGTCAAGATTGGAGAAGGTGGCAAGGGACAGACAAGCGTGGCGTCGACTGCTCTTTGTCTTATGTACCTGCCGGTATAGGGAGAGAGTAGGTAAGAAGCATATTATTTTGCTGTATGCAGACTGGTGAGAGGCGATTCGAAGCAGCACATTCACAAGGATTGTACGGATGTTCAGTCCTGGTCATGCAAGACCTCAAGGCTATGAACGTGCTGATGAGCTAGCCACCAGGCTGAGATTGGCGGCACCATGCAATTAGACCCAACAACAATCATGGCAGCATTGACAGCATGGTTTAACGACTACAGAGAAGATGAAGTATGAAGGCACCCCATCACACTCAATGGAAAGACTTAGGAGGGAGGCTGGTGTCTCAAGAGGATCGAGGAGAGTCAGCAAAATGCGTGAAAAAGCCAGAAGAATATCCAACCCGCCGATGACTGGCCCGATCAGTAAGCTAACCCTTTCAATTTCATGGACCCTGGAGAGGAGGGAGGAGCAGCAATGGTGACCAAATAACCAAGCAAGTAAGTAACAGTCAGTCCCGATCCACTTACCTGGGACTGGTAGACATTCGTAACCGTCACCAACGTAACCGGGTTTGCAGACGCACTGAATGTCATTCCCATCACGCACAGAGCAGATGGCTTCCTTTGCGCATGCGTCGTTGTCAAGGGGCGTGGCCACGAGCAGAGAACCGAATTCGGAGGGCTGGCATTCGATTCTTCGAGTACAGTCAGGGCTGACAATACTGGTTCCCATCTGTGGGAAGAATCGGTTAGTCGGATTTTAATTTTTCGGATTGTGGAGAGAGGAAGGAAGTCGTAGGCGGACTGGCAGTTGAGAGAGAGAGA